CAAAGGACAACGGCCTCATGACGCCACAGGACAAGAACTTCATCACCCGGATCCAGCTGCAGCAGTTGATGACTGCGACTGGCAACTTGGAAGAGAGAGGGCCCGAGGCAGCTATTGCTGAGGACTTTTACTACCAGGTCTTCACCCAAATTCGGGGTGCTCCACGTCAAAACCCGCAGCAGCCAGCAAGCCAATTTGCTCAGACATATCTGTTCCAGACCAACAACAGGTTTGGTAACCGCAGACAAGGCCGAGGAGGCGACAACCACATGCAGCGCATGGAGCAGCAGATCCAGCGAGCAGTCGAGGCCGCCAAAGCGAGACCAAAGGCTAGACAGCTCGTTGTGGAAGGCAGCCTAGGAAAGATTGCCTTTAGCAACTCCAAGACCCCGCGACCGCTGCTCAACCTCAAGCGAACGGAAAACAACGACAAGCTGCTAAAGAACCACAAGTCTTCCATCGCGGATCGCAAGGAGGCTCTCCGCAACATCGAGGCTGTGTACAAGACACTCATGCAAATGGAAGACCACGAGCGCGCAATGCCGCCTCCGATCCAAGAAGGTAGCCCCCCTGAAGCCATCCAGGCGCACATGGAGTGGCGATCGAAGATTGAGGCTCTCCACCAGCAACTCTGGCTGAACACCAAGATCATGGAGCCCATCAACCCCAGGTATGTTTGGCACCCTACGAGACCTTTTCTCGTTAACAATAACTAGCACACCGCATCCCTTCATCTCTATCCTTTCGCATGCCAAGGGAAAGAAGGTGATTCCGCGCCTGTTCCGACACATCAACGAGCAGGAGCGCATCACCGTTGTCACCATGATTGTCGTTCATCTAGATGCCCTCTCTGTGGTTGGCCATGCCATTGCTACGCCTGAAGAGCCTTTGAGCGCAGCCATCCGAGAAGAGGTTGACCTTTTCTCTCAAACCGTCATGTCACCCATCCACGCACACATTTCCGAGGCGCCATTGAACATTGTCATCGGGCTTCTTGGCCTTGTCTTGGACCGCACCAACCTCCATGTTGTGGCTCGTAGTAGAATTGGTCTTACGCTCCTTACGTTCCTCATATCCCGTGCGGAGCTTCTTAAGCAGTCGGCTCCAGAGATGGTGACCGATTGGCAACAGTGGACGGGGCTTTACAACCGTTTGTTCGACGTCATTGAGCCCGTTCTTCCTTACCTGTTCCCCGGAAGCATCAACGACACGGACGACATGTACATCTGGCAGTTCTTGGCTGCAATGGGTGTGGGCGCCAGTCCCGAGCAGCAACAGCGTTTGGTGCTGGGCGTCAAGGACCGCGTCATGGAAACGGTCTCTGTTAGCAAGGCCCTACCTGCTGACATGGCAAGCGCACGCACAGCAAACGTGAACCTCTTCATGAGGGCTATCGGTCTGGATGTTGAGCTGCTTGGATGAAACCCCCTGAGGATCAACATTTAGCCATGCAATGCTATCGGGACGCCACGCATCGCGTTCTGCGGTAGGCCGATGTTCGGAGTACAAAGTCCATGCCAAGGGGTTGGACGCCGATGGACTCGGACATGCAGCACCAGTCTTGCGTGTAGTTGTCGCCTAGTTGCCATGTGTCCGTTGCATAGTCGGAGCAGAGCGGAGGACCAGAGAGCTGGCAGCATAGGAGTTATCCGAGAGTAGACGGCTCTGGCGGCCAGGCCCAGGTGATGGATGGGCCTCTGGTGGCGCGTCGACGATATAGCAAGGACATCACTTTATGATAGAACAAAAGCGCCCCATTCAGTATTCGAATATACGCATTGATTTCATGCAGCGATTCCGCCTGTCAGTGTCAACATGTTCGTGCCCTCCCCGGATTAGCCCGTGCACCTGCGGTTCTCTCTCGACGCCACTCGCTTGAGCAGAGGCAGGGAACGCGGCTGCTTTTTCCAACTAACGCCTAGCCACGCGGACTCCCTTTATGCTTTGCACCGTCTCCTTTTCGTGACTGTACCAAAATACAGAGTGGAGAAGCCCAGTCGTCTACGCATGCCTGAGGTTGGCTATTCGTCCCTAGGCACGACGGCTTGCAGATGAGGAAATTGTCGTACCAGTCTGACAAACACCTTGCTGTGAGATTCGAAACACGAACTTCGCATCGACGGATGCCCAGCCTGTTTGCTTGCCGAGACAAGTGGCGCCAAACTGCGATGAAGCATGTTTGCCGTCATGGAGCATGTTTTGGAAGAGCCACATCGGGTTGGTTGGTTCTGGAGAAAGCGCTCATCCGACGCCGCAACATGACATTTAAGCTTCGCCCCGGTTGCTTGTCTGACATTTCGGATACGCGAGCGAGATGGAGAGGTTTATCCGCCGGCTGCTTCTTCTCAAGTTGCGGGCTGGCGGGCCCTTTGTTTCATCCTTGCGACGACGCCCAGTTAGCTTGTCTGGTCTTGGCATTGCGAAACACTACTCCCGCGGCTTCGTCAGCTCATCCGTTCATGCTCGCTGACGGCATAACCGCGCGTCATCAACTTCAGGCGACTCGGCAGAAAGAGGCATACGCTCCCAACGTAGCAGACCGTCAACGACTGAAATGAGGTGGCTGACAGAAACAACTCTCTAGTACCACCACCGTACGCAAGCCATGTCTGCCGTAAGGGAGCCTCTTGTGCGACTCCGACGTTGGCTGGTACCACGGTACTGAAACGTACCTGCAGTCGATGCCATGCCTGCTGCTAGCTCTCTCCACATTTCTTCGACGGTGTCAAGCTGGACGCGTAACGACCCCATCCCCTTATCGATACCTCTCCGATGAGGCTCGAAATGTGTCTCGGCCAATCATAGCGCGCCCGCTAGACCCATAGTCCCCGTTTTGCACGTTTAGTAGCCACCCAGACTGGCTTCTAGATTTTTGTGCCTGAAAACCTGACAGGAGCTAGGCTTGATGTTCCCCATGGATCATCGTCAATGCAGCACGCGTAGCGTTTTGTCTGCTGCCGCGTGGATCTCAGCTTGGCCGTGAGTGTCGAGTTAGCGCTCCCAGATCTTTCATTATGCGTCGGTATCGGTTCGGATTGCAGGCACTGGTTTCATCTTCCTCAAGTTTCACACTCTCTACATCGTTGGTCGCGTAGACGTTCCTTCTTTAAAAGCACTCTCCTCGCACACTCCTTGAGAACCGTGGACTACCATCAGGCCGAGCCTTCTGTTCTGTTTCTTTCGAGGAAGTCGTTTCGTTTCGTACCTTTCTTTCTTTAACCATTCCCTTCTTTCCAAACGACAGGTTCTTCCAGTCCGGCTGCCGGTCAGCATTAGCTCAACATGTTCTCCCTACGATTCCTCTTTTTCGTCACTCTTTTGGCGGCCGTTGTGCTAGCCGTTCCCGCCCCTGCACGCAAGAGGGGTCTCCAAAAACGTTCCTTCAAAGTTCCTAGGCAAATCAACAGGGCTCATCCTACCGGACCCAATGGCGCTGCTGCCATGAGGAAGGTGTTCAGGAAGTACAACTTCAAGGTCAAGGAAGACTTTATGGTCAAGGAGGGATTCATTTCCTTCACTAAGCAGAGCCAAAACGCGACCGCGGCCGCTGCTGCTGCTACTGGCGGCAACACCACCGGTACTGTTGCGGCCAACCCCGAGGAAAACGCCGCTCTGTTCTTGTCGCCCGTCGATGTTGGTGGTCAGACCCTGAACTTGGACTTCGACTCTGGCTCCTCCGATCTGTAAGCTCACACCTACCATGCGTTCATGCAATGCACTTTACTAACTCTTGCCCAGCTGGATGTTCAGTACCGAACTCGACCCGCAGCTGATTGGTCAGCACACTGCTTTTGACGCGTCCAAGTCTACCACTTTCAAGGCCACAACCGGTTCTCAGTGGAAGATCAGCTACGGTGATGGTTCCGGCGCTGCTGGTGTTGTTGGCACTGACACTGTCACCATTGGAGGTGTCAAGGTCGAGGGCCAGACCGTTGAGCTTGCAAACCAGGTGTCTCAGTCTTTCGTCCAAGATACCAACACTGACGGTCTTGTTGGTCTTGCGTTCTCCAGCCTCAACACTGGTGAGTTTTCTACATGCCGTACATATCGGGTTGTGCTAACAATGACTAGTCAATGATGGTACCAAGAAGACTCCCGCAAAGACCTTCTTCGACAACGTCATGCCTAACCTAGACATGCCCGTCTTCACTGCCGATCTCGACCCAGATGGCACCGGTGTGTACGAGTTCGGCAAGATTGACGCCACCAAGTTCGAAGGCGAGATGGCATGGATCCCCGTCAAGGCCGACACTGGCTTCTGGCAGTTTGGCTCTACCAAGTTCGCTGTCGGCGACCAGCTGTTCGAGAACCCTCAAGGCTCCGACGCCATTGCCGACACCGGTACATCCCTCCTCCTTGTTGACCAGCAGGTCGCTGAGGCATACTACTCGCAAGTTCAGGGTGCTCAGCTCAACGCTCAGGTCGGCGGTTTCATCTACCCCTGCGGCGCCACTCTCCCCGACATGAGTGTCGCCATCGGTGACTCCTACATGGCCAAGATCCCCGGTAGCCAGATCACCTTTGCCACTGTCGACGCAGCAAACACGACCTGCTTCGGTGGTGTACAGGGTAACCAGGGTGCAGGTCTGCAGATCTACGGCGACACCATGTTCAAGGCGCAGCTCGTCGCTTTCAACGGTGGTAACCAGTCCCTTGGTTTTGGTCAGAAGCCAGTCCCCAAATAAGCGCATATCCTTAGCAGAAGGAAGTACAGTTTGCTCGCATGTACATAGTTCGATATCCTTTGCACATTCACTTGAAAATATATGGGACAACCCAAAGCATAGCATGGCACAGCGTGGCCACAAGATAATGAATGAAGACATCAACAAATTATATGAAGCCTTTGCATGTGACTCGTGGTCAAAATAACGTGCAGGCGCTAGTGTGTGGGTTGAGGAAGGTGCAACTCTTGAATTTGACTCGCGTTCCGCACTGGTCTCGTTATCAAGGAATTACATTGATATTATTGCCCACGTGACAATCCCGGTATAGCTACAATGCAAGAGCAAGAGTTGAGCATCCTCGAATGGGCGCGAAGGCAAGGCGCTTGTATAGACTACGAGACCGAGCTGCTGCACATTGGCAGACTTCAGGTGCCAGCAAGCGATAATTACGATCAGCATCTTCACGATCCCTCCGACGCGACCATCACTACTGACCTCAGCACGCTTATCAAGGAAAGGCTCACATTGGATAAAGAAGCTGCATCACTCCTAAAGGCAGTGCATTCACTCCAGGAAGTTGATGCAACCGAATCGTCAGCCATCAGCAGCCGAATGTGGATACGCGATCTGAAACAAGAGCTGCCTGTGTTGCAGTCAGACCATGAGCTCGACTTACTGAACTTTGGCAGTGTAGCTGTGCCAGACTTCAAGAACTTGCAAATACCCTCCGAGATCACGGTAGAGCAGAATGACGAGTGCTTCACATGGCCAGCCAAGTACTTCGCCTATCCTGCCCAGTGCGATGCACAAGTCAAAGCCGAAAAAATCGCCGTCACGAAGGAGGTATTAGAATATCTGCAGGAAACTGCTAGAGACGCATATGTACCGGAAGATGGCGAAAAGATCGAAGCCGAAAGTACCATACGGAAACAGGTAGGCAGAGTCCTTGGTGATGTCCGTCTGCTAAACGATGCAGAAATCAATCATTCGGCCTGTCACGCCACCGTTGCTCCCTTTGTCTCCGCCAATGAAACCTTACGTACCATCCTCACCTGCAAATCGTCTACCACTGGCTTCGGACAGTAGTGGCTCGGTCACCGCTGAGGCACAGGCTTTGCACGACCAAATCATGGCGGCGGATTCCCTGCTTCCCGAGGGCTCAGACGGCAGCGACTCAATGCTACTCGATATTCCCCACATAGCCGCTTTCAATCCTCTCGAAGTATTCACCCTACCCATACTTAAACGCCGAGCCGAAGATCTCAAAGTGGAAGGCCCACTTACTCCACCGCTATTTTCCACGTCGCCAACGAAGAAGCTGAAGTCCGTGTCTTTTGCAGACACTCTACATGAGTATAGCTCGTACGTGCCATGGGGTCAAGACGTGATGACTGGTGAGGGAAATTCCAGCATTGAATTCGACCCGTTCTTCAAAGCAATCGAAGACCTGGCTGAGGAAGCGAGGAAGAAGGTTGAAAGTGAGAAGCTATCAGGCGCCGACACGATTGTAAGAGTGGATGTACCTGACGCTGACTTCTCACTACCTGTTGCACCATGGGACGAGTATAGTCAGCGTAGTGGCAAACATGGACCTGATGATACTGAACTCCAAGCACAAATGAGGTTTATGCTACGGATCAAGCATGAGGACATGAAGTCGGCATCTTCGTGGCATGGACTTTCGGTCCCGGAGCGAGAGTTGAAATGGGGCTTTCTCAATACCAATGTATTTGCTCCAAGCCTCGAAGAAAAACTCCATGGTGAATCAGAAATGACTAGGATCATCGCTGAAGTGGAAGACGGCAATATTGCCACCAGCTCCACTCAGGTGTGGAAGCGCGAAGGACTTCGGATCCTTGACGAAGACGAAGACGAGGAAGAGCTAGATCCGAATAGATATGAAGAGCGACAGAACATGGAAGCTTTGATACGTAAGCGAAAGTTGGAAATGGAGGAAGAGATGGAGGAAAAGCACCGCAACCGGACGCCCTCACAGCAGGCTGTACGCCCACAAATCCAGCCGCCCAGGGGCTTGCAGCAGAGCCATCACTTCGGAGGACGAGGGGCAATGCAGACCTCAAGGAACCGGTCGAAGAAGATGGAACACGCCTCCAAAGGACTACAAGGATCCATGGATGCAAGCGGTGATCTGATGTTTGGCGGATTCTCAGCGTCGACCGCTCTTCACAAGTTCATGAAGACGCGTGGTGAGTCCGTGGAGCCAGTGAAGATTAGTAGTACAGAAGCGCTCGATTTGAAAGGCCATGCTCAGTCCAATGCGTGCAATCTACCAGTCCAATCAAGAGGATCTGCTTCGCACAAGTCAGCAGTCCAAGGCCAGCAGGCGCATACCGTCAAGCCACTGCCGCCCACCGTTCCGAGCAATCTAGCACCTTCCTCTTTCGTGGTCTCTTCGTCCTTGCTACAGCAGCGAGGGGTACTGAAACACATCGAACAACTGTACCCAAAAGCAGAGATGGTATATCGGGATTATACACTACCGCACTCCACAGCCGGCGAGGCCGGAATCATACTCTCTCCATCCACGGGCCTGATCTTTACCACTTTACAGGAGGTCAAACAAAGAGCCCTCCCTGGACAGCCAGAAAGATCACTGGTAAAGGAACGTGTGGCTACGCTTCAGTTACGGTACGAGAGATTGGTAGTTTTAGTAAGTGAGGGGCTGAGCCGTGAGATGGAAGAACTGGGCTCGAGTCGGCCAGACGACCCGCGTGATGCGGAGGCGCTCAAGACTTTTGAGCAGTTCGCTAGCAGATTAGAGGGCGATGTTGTCGTTCGGTATGTCCGCGGAGGGGAAAAGTCTCTCGCGTGCTCCACGGTGGTGGAGATGGCAAACTACGGACTGCCCCATGGCTCAGTGGACATTGGCGACATCAAGCCTATTGCTCAGGAGACGAGCTGGGAGGTTTTTCTTCGTCGAGCGGGATTCAATCCATTCGCTGCTCAGGCAATCGTGGCGTGGCTCCAAAAACCCTTGAATGTGCCGGTGGCTCCAACTCTTCCCGGAAAATATGTGTCAGCTGTCGGTCTTCCGCGTTTCATACTGATGAGCGAAGAAGAGAGGGTGCGTTCTTTCCAGGCATTGATGGGTGGAAGTAGGGTTCTCATTACAGCTAGCAAGTTGGTGGACCAAGCGTGGGTCAGCGCTGCGCATGGATTCAGGATGTGAGATGCAGAAATGGTACTACGAATCTATAGGCATGCGATGTTCAGACGTCACATGAAATGACTAAATTTAGAACATTAAGATTTTTTGCCATCACCAACTGGCATTTCAAAAGACATTGGACGTGGGGTGAAGCTTGGACCAAGAATGACGCCGAAGCTACTCGAAATATCGCAAAGGCAGCCACACCAATAAAATCTCATGCCAAAGGTAGTCATTCGGCTTGCAGCCTTACTGGCATCTCGAGCAAACTTTCGCCTATAGACGAGCGGTCTCGGACGCGTCGAACATGTCTTCAGTCGGTGTCATCATCTCAGGTCGGCCTGTCGTAACCGAGCCGTCCTCCGTGATATCGCCTACCCAGTTCGCCTTCCAGATTCCTTCGCAACCGTCATTCTCCCACATTGTCGTCTTCCTGCTCCCAGGCGTCACACTACCAGATGGCACCGCCGCCGCCGTATACGCGCAATTACCCGGCACGACCGACTTCAAGCTTCTCGGCGCGATCGCAAACGAGAAGCCCAGCGCGATATTCAAAGTGAACGCGAAAGCTGGTGGGCCCGCGGGTGGTGGTCTAGGCGACAGCGACGATGCCATGGTGGACGAGGGTGTTTCAGTGGACGCGTCAAACGGCAGCACCGCACCGCTAGCTCTTGGGATCGCCGTCGAGCCCGCACAACAAGTCGCCGCAGCTTTGGCAGAGAAGAAGGCACAGGATGCCGCGGCGTCAGCAACACCGAACATGGGCCAGGGCAACGAGCTGGTGCTTAGAGGGCAGAGGAGCGTAGAGACAAAGGTGCTGGCGCAGAGGATTATCAAGAACTGCTACGACTTCTTGACGAGCTGGGGTACAGGAGATACCGTGCCGCTGAAGGCATTCCAGGCGTGGTGGACCAAGTTTGAGGGCAAGATTGAGAGGGATCCAGGGTTCCTGGAGAGGAGCGATGGAGGGTGAGATTGAGCACGGCATGGATTATAAGACTGTACGATACGAAGCTCGCAGACAACCCCTCAAAACGCCTTGTTGACACCATCCCATTCTGGTTCCGCGAGCGCTGCCGCGTACATTGCATGCGGCCACGAAACCTTTGGCGCCTTCTCTGGCTTACGCTTCGCCTGCTCCACTACTGCATCGCCCAGTACCTTTTCGATTCCCGCGCGCTCGTACCGCACTTCCAACTGCTCTCTCAATGGCTGAAGCATTTCCCAATCTGCGCTCTTCCTCCCAAAATCTGTTACGACGGCGATGCGAACAAGTCTCGAGAGCTCGCCGATCCTCTCAGCAATTCCTGGGCTGGTATGGCACGCGATTGCTGTCCAGACATCATGCGCATCCGCTCTGTCGACGCCATGCGTGGACAGAAACGCGACTGCTGCATCGGCGCCCTCGACTTCGAAGCGCTGCGAACCATCATACTTTTGCGTGGTGCCAATATCGTGAAAAAGGCATGCTGTCAAGAGTAGATCGCGGCAATGGGCGTTCGTGAAATACTTTGACAATGTGTGTTTGGCCAATGCGTTAGCATAGAGATAGACTCTGATACTATGGTCGAGAATTGCTGGGTGTAGCAGACCAGCTGCATGTGCATATGCAGCTTTTGATATGTCTGTGTCAGGGTCCAGAAGATGCGAATACGTCCCGTCCTCTGGATTGCCGGCTCCGGCGATGGCTAGGTCGGATGGTGGGCACATGCTGCGCTACACGATATGAATGGTGATATAAATCAGAGCAACGTGCATGCGACTGAAACGTGTTTTGTGTGTCTCTTATAACTATAGACACGCTTGTTGTCTGTTTCCTAATCGGGCCACAAGGCGTGGGCGAGCGGGGCTAGCCACGATACTTCAAATCCAACGTCGAGCGTCTCATCACGACTGCTAGCAGGCGCGCGATTCCTGAGCATCCCCGAATTTCATACTTCAAGAATTGGAGTCTTCAGTCATGAACTTCGCCCCAGCTACCTACCTAGAGTTCTGCAATCTCCAGTGCCAATCGGCGATCATATTCTCCACACATGGCCTACACGAATACTAAAGCAAACCAAACGTAAGCTCTACGACTAGACGCCGGTAACGGCTATCAAGAAGAAACCCCCAGTCATCCGAGTTTGCTAACACGCCCTTGGCGTTCTTACTAAACACATCCTAGCGGATCCAGAGTGTGGGTTATCGCATGCAAGGCTCACTGATAAGACACGCTGACACGACGACGGATCTGGACGACTCGCATGGCCAAGAAGTTCAAGCCTTGCTACTACTCGTAGAATTAACTAATCGAGCTGCTTCTAGAAATACCAAGCACTGCATGACGACAGTGCCTTGACCGCAGCTCGACAATGATACGATAAGAGGCCGTGGAGATAGGCGTAGCAGGTTCGCCGACGGTAAGCTTGGCATGTGAACTGGGTGACAACAAAAGAGTATAAAGACTGGCTTCGGTTTGTTGTGAGTTGATTGTAGTTTCAGCTACGTGCGCATCCGGTTGGCAAGATGAAGTTCTCTATCCACCTTCTTCCTCTCTTCACGGCCCTTACCCTAGCATCGCCAATTGATCTTAGTCGGTCAAATCTCCACCGACTCTTCGTACGCCAGGATATCCAAACACCAATCAATGCTTCCCTTCCTAATGTCACCATCTTCGCAACCGGTGGAACAATCGCCTCGCAGGGTAGCAGCAATACTCAAACCACTGGCTACTCGATAGGTCTCGGAGTCCAACAACTCGTTGATGCCGTCCCAGAGCTCCTGAACATCTCGAATATCGCCGGCTACCAGATCTCCAACGTCGGCTCTGGTAGCGTCAATGAGACCATCAGCTTGAGCTTGGCGCATATGATCAATGCTGAGTTGGCCAAGGAGGAAATCTCCGGTGTTGTAGTAACGCATGGCACCGATACGCTCGAGGAGACTGCTTTCTTCTTGGAGAGTACGGTAAACTCCACTAAGCCTGTCATCGTCGTGGGTGCCATGAGACCGGCGACTGCATTGAGTGCAGATGGTCCGCTCAACTTGTTCCAAGCAGTTACCCTTGCTGGATCGCCTGCCGGCCGGAATCGAGGAACTATGGTGAGTTTATGAGTCGAGATGCAGCCGTGAAGAGGTTGTTCTAACGTTTTCAGATCGTCCTCAACGACCGCATTGGCTCTGCTTTCTACACCACAAAGAACAATGCCAACACCCTGGACACATTCTTCTCAACGGAAGCAGGGCAGCTCGGCGTCTTTATCAACCAGGTCCCATACTTCTTCTTCGCACCCTCAGAGCCTGTCGGTCGCGTAGTCTTCGATGTGACCAATGTTACGGATTTGGCGTCCGTACCGATCCTGTACGCCCACCAGGACATGGACCCCTCGCTGTTCAACGCGTCTTATGCTTCCGGTGCTCAGGGCATTGTCTATGCTGGAGTCGGTGCTGGCGGTGTATCTGACAAGGCTGCTCTGGCTGCTGAAGAACTTTACAATGCCACTGGCATTCCGATGGTAGCCAGTCACCGGAGTTCAGACGGAATGGTACCAAACGGTGGCGACTTTACTATTGCAAGCGGGTTTTACAACCCGCAGAAGGCAAGGATTCTGTTGCAACTGGGACTCACCATGGGCTGGAGCGAGGAGGAGATTAGAGTGGCTTTCGCGTTGAGCTATCCTACACCTTAAGTGGTGGAGGGGTCTAATACTTATGTTAGCAGACTTGACGAATTAATGAGACAGCCACAATGGCTTGAAAACACAATTTGCCATTCCATTCACTAAGTTGCGTGATGATGCCGCTAAGACGGGTACATCGGATAAGTCAGAGTATTGCTGTTGTTCGAACATGTCTTGCACTCGAATGACAAGTATTTGTCCGGTTCCGTATCCTCTTCTCTTCGAAATATGTCGTATTGCTGACAAAGGTGGATAACAAGTGAGTTTCAACGCGTAGAAAGAGTTCACAATCCAACGATGTGGTGAGGCGGCAAGATACGAGATTGTCATGCTGGACAAAGTTTACAATAGGTTGCGTGGCAGGCTATCGCATTTCCTGGTGGCTGGTATCTAGACGTTGCTCCTACCAATGGGTTGCATTCGTCGTGGATTACAAAGGAAGAATGCGCGACACTACTCGGTCGGACCTCGCTGGGTTCATTGTGCGATGGAAACACCGCATACGGATGATTGCGCGATGCGGCGTTGGAGTCGTAGGTGCACAGCCTCCCAAACTTCAGGCCCAGATCTCGCTGCAGGGCCCTGCACGCCGACGTCATGACTTGGCGCTACCAAAGGAAGCCAACATCGTCTCCATAACTACGTCCATGGACCCGGTAATCATGATGTTAAGTTTCAATTCGAATCCGCAGTCATGTCGAATGATATTGCCGCAAACCGCTCGGGGCTCAAGGACTTTCTCGCATCTATAGCGACCATCTCGGGAGATCTTTCAAACATTACTGCGCCGCCTTTTGTACTAGCTGAGAATTCGACGGTTGAGATACCACAGTACTGGGCGGACCATCCGTATCTCTGGGCCGCGCCGGCGTTGGAAGAAGATCCCGAGAAGCGCGCGCTGCTTGTGCTGAAGAACTTCCTAGGCTCACTACGGGGGCAGCAATATGCGGGGCGAAAGGAGGAGGATGGCGTCAAGAAGCCATTGAACGCCTTTCTCGGCGAGCTGTTTCTCGGCAGCTGGAACACTGAGGAGCTGGGAGAGACGAGGTTGGTCTCTGAGCAGGTCGGCCATCATCCGCCAGTAACGGCGTGCTATCTGTGGAACAACCAAGTCGGCATCCGAGCTGAAGGGTTTACGGAACAGGAAATCACCTTTTCAGGAAATGTCAGCATCAAGCAAAAGGGTTATGCCATTGTGCATGTCGACAAGTACGATGAGGACTACCTCCTGCCGCTGCCGAATATAAAAGTAAAGGGTCTGTTGGGTGGGGTACCACATCCGGAGTTGTACGGCGAGTATTCTCTCATCTCGTCCAACGGATATATCTCGCACATCAAATTCGAAGGCAAGTCCTTCTTTGGCTCCGGGCATAAGAACGGTTTCGAAGCGAGATTCTTCCATGCAGATAGGCCCGATGAGACGATCTACACAATTGAAGGATCTTGGAACAGCACGTTTACCATCAAGGACGCGCGGAATGACTCTGAGGTGGAGACGTTTGACGTTAGGACTATCAAACACAAACCCATGACTGTGCCCGACCTCTCAGAACAGGACCCGTGGGAGAGCAGGAAAGCATGGGGCGACGTCATATCCTCCCTGCACAAAGGTGACATGAAGGGCGCCACCACAGCGAAGAATGCAGTCGAGAACGGCCAAAGACAGATGCGAAAGGACGAAGAGGCAAAGGGCGAGGAATTCAAACATGTCTTCTTCGATAAAGTACCCAACGACCCAATCTTCGACAAACTAGTCAAGCATGACCCTCAAGCATACACCATCGACCCCTCGGGCGGCATATGGAAAGTCGACAAGCAAGCCGCGGAGCAGCGACAGCGCCCATTCCATGGTGACCTGACACCGTCTAATCAGAGAGTAGCGCACAAGCAGGGGCAGCCGCAAGAGGGTAGACGATCAATAAATGGCCAGGACCAAGACAGCGGTGGGGCTGCTGGTGCGGTAGGCTCGGCGAAGTCTTCCAACGGCTATGCACCGGATGCGCCGGTTCAGAACGGAGCACCAAAACCAGTCGGCGACGCAACGCCCCGTGACGAAAAACGTCCAGATTCGGCAGTGGGGAGTAAAGGGGATTCCCGCCGTCAGTCGAGTAATGCGATAGAGGTTACTGATGAGATGGTGGAGAATTTTTTGAGGGCCAAGACGAGTAACCTGCGAGTCTAAGTATGATTAGGGTGGAGATTTCTTACTTACTGGTGTCACTTGGACCATGCAGTTTTTCAGTACCCAAGCCGATCAGTCCAACGTTCATACGCAGTGGACACCGCACTAGTGTGGAGCAGCTTCAACTTG